TCGTGGAGGACGAATGACGAATCGAAGGCATTCGCTAAAGAATGGAAAGGGATAATCTATGTCACCATAATGGAATCCTTCCCAAGAAGGGTCAAGACCAGAGAAGGCCAAGTGAGCCGCACTCTCATTCACGAGACCCAGAAGACCCGTAAGCATCCCCCGCACCATTTCACCCCACGATCCATCCTCGGGCAGAATGAACTCCACAGAGAAGTTGAGCCTCCGAGAGAAAGTTCCCTAAGCATGTACCCTTCTAGTCCTTACAATTCCTCAGCGCGAGATGGTGTTTCGTTGAGTAGATCCCACTCGATCCAAGGCCATTCCTTAACGTTCCGACACGGATGACTTCGCCTTCGATTTCGATTTCCGCCTCCCATTTCGAGCCACGATGCGCACGGTTTACAAACGAACAAAGGGCAATTACAATGAATCTCCTCGTCTGGAAAATGGACAAAGCCATCCTATTTCGTTCATTGCCGATCGTCGATGAGCTAGGCGTAAAATGACATGGCTCGAGAGTCGCGAGAGAGGTGTTGAGGTCGTATCACCTAAACGCCTTTAACTCGCCATAACATTCCCAGTACTGGAAGAATGTAGAGTCCGTATCGTCTTTTCATGTAGCTTGCTTGGATATCAATTATAATCATGAGTCAATCGCAGTGTTGAGAACCTGAAACGTATCAGTTAGATCTTCCTCACCTAACGAGGAGACGGACGCGCAAAAGAACATAGAGGAAGAAAGAGTTCCATGAAACCATTTCTTCGCATATGAACTGGAGAATGATAGACACATTTTTAAAGCACGAGTTTTATGGACAAAATGACTAACTAATGTTGTTGAAGGTCACAAAACATCTCAGGATAGCAAAGTTTCGGCTCGTATTAGGATAAGATAGATTAATAGTAATTATACACAATACCAAGTATAATGTATCAAATTCCTAATCGTTCATTTTATTATTATTATATATTATGCATCTACGTTATGCATGGGCTCTAAGCCATGAGCACAGTTGGTTTCATCTGGTGGAGTAGGGCTATTATCCGTCAAGGACTATGTAGACTATATCATACAGGGTGTTCAAAAAGAAACGCAACCCATGGAGAACGCATGTTTATTAGTAAATTACAAAAATTGTTGCATGTGTTGGCCATTATGGTTTGCGCATAAGTTATCGAACACTTGTTTTAATGTTTCTTTTGATAGGCCGTCTACTGTAAGCCATTCTAGTACTTAAAGATCACTGAAGCAGAAAGAAAAGCAAATAATATATGCATTCTCCATGGGTTGCGTTTCTTTTTGAACACCCTGCAGAATTAGAGACTTTAGCATTGAATCATTAGTATAAAATGCCAACCTACAGACATAAAATAAAACATACATCGTTCATAAGAGATGCATATTTCGTCATTTCAAGTCTCAAATATGCTGCTAATTTTTCGTCATGGTAACGATTTTATGTCTAATTTCAGACTTTCGAGATAAATCAAGAGTATACTCTTGATTTCGCCAAATTTTCAGTCACATAATGAATTCACAGTACAGTACTGCTTTTTCTGAGATTTCCGCCTAAAACTATATTTGACAGTCTTGATCTTAGCACGGCTCTCCACTGAAAGGCTCACGGCCGGCAGCTCCTTCTCTTCGCCCCGTTCTGGTTATTCGATATTGCTTGGACTCAGTGATGCGGCCTTGTCATGACTGTGTTCTGAGGCGCAAGATGATGACGGTAGCCACGCTCTCTTGAATTAGAGCAGGACATTGCTGCATCGACTTCTGGCCATTTCTCGTCTTCCATTTTGACCAATGTTCGAAATGTTTGAACGGAGCAGCGCTTAATGGGACAAATTTCTGCACCATCTTCCTCGAAGGTGCATCCGTCCTAGGGTGGGAGTTCTTCCCTCTCGAGTCAAAAGTGTATCAGGGATTTCTCATCTCCTTCTAGTAGGAAGAAAATTCCTTCGGGCATGGATCTCCTTGGAGCTCCAAATGTTCCCGCAGGGATCGCCTGCCTGTTTGCTGCTGATCCGAGCAACGACACATTCGCTTTGACAGAACGCAGCGTTGGCGAGTTTGAACCTCGAGTTTGAGTTTGAACCTCGAGTTTGAGTTCGAGCCTCGAGTTTGAGTTCGAGCCGAGTTGCAAGGTCCGCTCGAGCCGTGACTGCAGCCAGCTGCCGACTGACTCGCTCCATCGCTTTCTATTTCCTTAATTAGCTCTTAGGAAGTTGGCGGAGAAAGACGTTACTGCTCTGCTCGGAGCGAGCTCTCGGGGATCTGCAAAGTCTTCGGCTTCCAGAGGTTCGATTCGCTCTCTCTTCCCTTTCCTTACTTCTCAATCCTCGTCTTACCTTATCGTATTTCCCAAATTTTTGAAAGAACACTGCTGAAAATTTTTTTTTAGCTGAGTTACTTCCTGTTAATCTATCGGTACGGCAGAGCTCATTTGCGTCAAGGATTTTGTTTGTACCGTTGTTAGTCTTCGAGGAGGCAGCAGTTCCAGGAAAGCTTATCCAAAAAACGACGAAAAATGTCGGTATTTCTTCTCATTTTCACGGAACGCAGAGATGCCGTCCTGCCATACATATTTTGCTATTCTTTTGCGACTTTTTTGTGCAAAATTTGAAACATGCGTTTTTCGATGTTGTTGCTCCTGAACACTCCTGAAATGCATACGAGAAAATAAGCTGTAAATTGAAATCACTAAACACGATCACTCCGGGTGGCCCTAAAACGTTCCAAATCGTTTCTCGCCTGCCGACACAATACTGACAAAATTTACAAGGTGGCACATCCAACACGTATTCACTACTTTCATGAAACTTTGGGATACTAATTTCATGAAACTTTTAATGAAATTAGTACCCCGGAACCCGAGAAACAGCTTCCTCTTCTCGAAAAGTGGAAATGTGAAGCGTATCGTGATGCGGACCCTGCATGTTTCCTGCGCGCACGATGGGAATTGCCCCACCGTTCTTCACCTGACGGGGCTGACTCGGTTGCAATGCTTCATTTCGCAGTTTCCAGGGGGGTAGGGGGGGGGGGGGAAAGACTGTAATTCGGGTTCTTGAGGGCCAGTCTCATGGAAATTTTCATGGGGTCACCGACACGTCTTGCATGCGACTTCCCTGCAAATTCCCTGTCGATGCCTTACACTTCCAGGCATGTAAAATCAGGAATTTTTTCGGGTCACCTACTTGTCAGACACGAACGCACTTATATAGCCTCGCGATCATAGATTCTTTCGGTATTTGGGCATCGGATGTGTAGAAATGCTAACACTCTCAGGCCTGGCGCATTGAATGCGCTGAGTTGCACCCATCAATGACCGGAACGGACCTCAAAGCGTTAAGTAACGAGTGCAGAAAGACTCGCTCCCTCAGCCTGTTCACACATTCGATCTCTGGAGTCCAACGCGACCATGGCGACACTGGCCAAAAAATCCTTCTCTGTCTGATCAATTAAACCCTTTCCCCCCTCCCCTCCGGTCCCCTCTTCGCCCTTTCTCGCCTCTGACCTTACCCAACGCGACCATACCGACAGACATCTACGACAAGACGTTTCGGTTGGGCTCGCATCATACAGTTAGGCTAGCGTAAGTCTTCGAGGCTTCGATTGGACTGTGAGTGTTACACCCTGACCAACGCCATGCACGAAGAAAAATTTAACAGTAACAAAAAGGCACTCTTTTCCTGCTGAAGACAGCTAGCCGGAGGCTAGGCTAGCTGTCAGTACGATCTTATGAAATGTAGCCTTCATATTTGCACATGATTAAATCCAAGAGAAGGATATCAACGTTCTGCAATTAACAGCAACAAAGGTTACCAATCTAAATGGTAATACTTTAGTTAGCATCCTCGCATACGAGGAAGGAAGACCAGGGGGAAGGGAGCAGACAGGAGCGCGCACGTGGAAGGTGTGAAAAGGAATGAGGTGGGCGGGACACGGGAAACAACCGTTGGAAGACGACCGTTACTCGCGGCGCCTGCATGCGCCAATGAGAAGACGGAGTGGCGACCTGACGTCACTGATCACGTGATCTCGGCGGCTCCGAATGGGTGTAAGGGAGGACCGACCGGTTTCACTTCCATTAGAAAGCAGCTGATCCCCTCTCCCACCACCTTTCCGGACCAACGAGCGGCTGTGGAAGCGATCATTCCGTCGGTGACGTCAGGTTGTCGCTGCGTCTTCTCATTGCCGGACAAGCACGTGCAGGAAGTGACGGCCGTCCCCCAACATTTCGGGTGCCATGCATTCCTTGGTTTTTCCAAGAGCCAGACTTGAAAAGGCCAGGTCCCCCGCCCAGCCAGCCCTACGACTTGTGGCTTGGGGTTTGCCTCTAGCTAGCGATCTGTTTATCGTGAACGAAATCGACAGCACCGGTTTCACGATGCCAATCAACGGTCAAAATCGGTTATAACGGCCTGTTATGAGACATCGGTTATGGCGAGGAATCGTGCATTGCCACAGACGTTGTGAAGCTCTTCATTTATCGCGATGCTCCCCAAGAACTGGAACTTCCATCTTTGGGAACATGATCTTTGGCAACATTCAACTTCCTGTAGGATTCTCGGGGACGCGATTGTAAGAGGGTGAAACGGGGGAATCTCCAATCCAAAATGACTTATTCTCCCGTCGCTTATCCTCGGTTCGTGTGGTCGTGATGGCTGGTAAAATGAAGACTTCATGATTCAGCAGAAAGTGAACATTCCGTTTGATGGAATATGGACGGCGTAAAGCAGCCAACGCCGGTCGTGAACTTGGACTTTCGAGCTCATCTCACGATCGCCCGAGTTAAAGATATTGCCAAAAAAAAATAAAATAACGAAGGCAACCTCGTTTACGAAAGAATCTCAACTGTAACGGCGAATATTTCCTGGTACCTCTGGCATGTCGAGTTTCTCGCATATTCCAGCAAAAAGGCCTCGATGCATGCTTTCTTCGTCTTTGGCATTCCCGATGAATAAGACTGTAGGCAGAGAAGTACACGCAGGGGATTGGCGGTCCATATATAATACAACATTTATTGACTTTCAGGTATAAACTGGGTTCTATATGCATCCCACAACACAGAAAAACCATTCATTCGTATCGATTGTGTGCCCGGTAAGTGTGGTTGAAAAGACTTCTTCCCGTCGGGAAGTACAAGTCGCAATACTTGCATTTGGCCTGGGTGATACGGCTCGTATGTTCCACGTGACCCTTCCGTTTCACGCACTGAGACGTCATGTGACGCTTTCGAGCCTTCTTGGTCTGGAAAGGTGCATAACACCAGTCACAGAGGAAAATCCCCGTCGTCGCGTTCCCATCGCTGTCCTTTCTTCCGTGTTCGGTCACGTAGTGCTTCGACAGCTCATCCCTGTTGTGGGCCATCATGGGGCAGAACTTACAGCGCAAGGCCTCAGGATCCACCTGAGGAGTCACGTCTTCTCTGCCGCCGGCCCGACGGGACGCACAGATCTTTTCGTGCTCCACCAATGTCGCCGTCTCACTCTCCAGGATGAAACTCTGGCAGTATCTACATTGAACCAGACTGGTGAACTCGGAGGTGTCTCCGTCGCATGGCAGCGTGAGCCGCTCCACTTCCTCTCCGCTTCCCCGCCCCGCTTCGCCTTCGTTCTCTCTGTCGAGCACGAGGTATATGTGGTCTTCTCTTGGCTCACACGGCGGCAGCATCTCATCCGTGCGAATGATACGCACTCCGCCGTCGTTCTGCTTTCTACAAATCAAACGAAAGATTATCCCTTGAGTCAGCTTAGCCACAAGAATGATTAATATATGAAGCTTGGATTAATATATGGCATCTTGAATTAATGGTTATTAAATCCGCACTTTTGCCTTGAACCTTCGCGAACCTTGAACCTTCATCTTCATTAGTCACACATCATGACAATTGCCATAATCAGGGAATCAGCCATGTCTAATGTTTAATTTGTGTAGCAGTACTGGTAAATTAATGCTACAAAAAAATTGAGCTTACCGCTTCTTTGATGGTGATCCAGCTGTCCCCGGTTCATCCTCACTGGTGGCTTGGCTGGAGAAAGAAGCAGTCATGAGACATGATGAATTAAAATAATCCCTAATACATTCTAATATAATGTTTCAATGGATTTTAATATACCTCTCGGATTCACCATCAGCAATATCCTCCTCAGTGAAGGCCAGCTGCCTGAAGCTCACACTCTCTCTTTCCCCATCTTGAGACACTCTAAAACAAGGAGATGCAAAATAGCATATTCCTCACTGTAACAAAACAATTGACCATGACAAGCTGAGAGCAGAGAAACTCACACGGCCTCGACGCTATTTGTGCGGAAAACCTTCCAGAATAACAACTCAGCCACTTCCAGCTGCTTCTGACAGAGTTCACAGAGAGTCCAGTCCAAGCCAGCCTTCTTCCGCTCTGTCTTCTTGAGATTCTTGAAAGTGAACCCAAAGACGGCTTTCAGTCGGCCTTGGAAGGTTTCAAAGAGGTTAATGGTGGAGCGTGCAATCATCTTTCCACATCCTACGCACTTGCTGGAATCTGTCCACACGCCTTCATCCAGCACAATCGAAGTGAAGCAGTGTGCTTTGCTCACAACTTCACTCAATGTACCCATTTTAGTCAATTAACAAGTGATCAATGCTCAAGGGGTACAAACCTAGTCAAAAAAAGAAATCCTCAGCAAAAGAGGAATCAGGTGTCACTGAAATCAGTAAAGGAGGACTTGCACTATATCCAAAAAACCCATTTAGGAAATAGTCTTAACGGCAAAGAAGGAGCAACACTCCCTTCCACATAAAAAATACACACTACAAAAACACCATAAGTTACAATGTATGCTTCAATGTTGAGCTGCATATGGCACCTCTCAACAGAAAATATACTTTACTGCATACTGTGGCCAGCAAGAAAGCCCAAAGTTGGTGAGATTCTCCCACCAGGGAATCTACTTGGGAGGATTCCCAGGGAAATGCAAAGCCTAACTCAGGCCTTTCATTAAAGGTGATAGGAAAAAACACGAGAACAAACACTTGGCCGTTTATTGGATAAGCAAAGGTGGAAACAACAGAAATTCAATCAGGACCAAAGAGAAAGCTGAGATCAAATGATGAAAACCAAAACCATACTTAAAAAATCATGGAAATTTTGAATTTAACTGGTAGGGGGAAACAATTAGATCCAGAGAACTCACCATGAACTTATGTCCTCTTGTGGATTCCATTCGTCAGTGTCTGTCGGCAATGTTACCGAACATGGAAGAATAGTAAAGAAAAAATTTTGAAGACTGAACTAATCCCACTTACGCATACTGGGCCACCTAAGTCTTGAATTTCAATTAGGACTTGACAAGATATGACAGTTCCTTCTGCGTCCATACCACACTATGAATTTCCCAACATATGCTTAAAAGTGCCCAAAAACCAATGGGACTTTGTGAATGCCCTGATAGTATGGGAGATGCTGATGCCGATCACCAGCGATTCCAGCTACCCCGGCCCCGACCCTGGCCCCTGCCCCTGCCCCATCCACCCCCACGACCACGACCACCACCACCAACACCACCACCTTGCCTGAGCATTGGATTGGGTACATCATCAAATTTACCTACCTTGGTGCTGTACTTGCCACTGGGAACGCTGTAGAGCTCCCTGTCCTTCTTCCCACCCGATCCATTCTCTTCAAACGTAACAGGTTTATGCTTGCGTCCTGCAACTATAGGACTCTGCATCTTGGATGGGACCCATGACAGACTCACCTCAACTTTATAGTGAGGTGGAATATGGAAGAGATCCTTGATCAGCGAGTTTATGTTAGCTGTTGTCTTCAGAGCTATCAACTTGACTTTGTTCTCTTCTGTCTTAAGTTCAATTCCAGATTTCCCACGAAGGGATTCCCGGAGTCTCGTGATGTACAATTGAAGCCGACGTGCCAAGTATTGCAGACGAGCACGAAAGTCCTTGGTGCGCTCACTGTCATTCTCAAGAAACTCAGAGTGCTTTGCACCAAGTTTGTGGAAAGTATAGAGAAGGCATTCGATGTAAGAGAAATCAAGAATGGGGCCATTTTTCTCCTCTTCATTTGGATCACCTGAGAAGTTCTCTGGTGGTAGAGGCATATATTCTAGCATTTTTGAATACACTACTTCCAGGTCTTCCACTGAGACTTCATTGGCATGAGGAGACATCTCAGCAAGCAGCTTCAAGATTTCAAGGCGATATTTGTTCTTTTCTTCAGGGATGTCTTGGATTGAAGGAACCATCTGTCACCAACAAATACATTAATGAAGTTTAACACATCACTCAACTTTTGCAACTTTAAAATTGGGATAAACACAGTCCACAGCCACAATGTCAACTCCTAATGCATGTTATTCAATTTCACAAAAATTATAAATGAAAACTTTATAAATTAATTAGTATTTAAATACATATTTTACATATTCATACTTATTCACAACTTTTATATTGCATTTATTATACAATTTAATTTAAATTTTTTACTCTTATGAAGAACTTCATAAAAAATCATATTCCTTTTATTGGAAATTGCTTTTTTTTTATTGGAGCCTTATAATACTGAACTCAACTTCTTTGATTAGCCACACTGGACTACCTGAACCTTAGGCCACCCAAAATAAATTATTTCCAAGATTGTATTTAGGAGCATGAAACACAGTCAAGGAACATGCATATGTAATTAGCAGTGATTGCCATTTTCAATCAACAACATTTTCAATCATCCCAATTTTGGGATGATGGGTCCTGGCAACCCCAGTCACACAAAACATTCCATCTAAAGATTTTCCAAAGTTTAACCATGAGAGAGAAGCATTCAGCAATCACAGATCTTAGGTTGGGTAGGTTAAATTCTTGGCTCTGACTTTACTTCCTCTCATGATACTTTCCCCCCTGTGAGCACTCAACATGAGCAACCAGTGAATGTCATGTGTATCAGTTGTATGGTTCCTCCATGATGCTTAAGGGTGCATCATGTGTGTTCAAGGGGTTAAAAAAAATAAAGTCACATATTTTCCTAACTGCCACCTGATAGTGATTTAATTCCATAATCTGCATTTGTATTTGGTCTGCTCACCTGTTTGATAAAGTATTCAAGAAATTTGTTTGATGGCACAAACTTGTTGAAAAAAGGGACTGCGTGCTTTGTGCACTGGACAATGCGGTCAATAGTATCCACATCGGTCATCTCCAATGACTTCTCATCTTCAAGCTGAGCTGCCAGCACATCCACAATCTCCTACAAAAATAATGAATTCATATGTTACTCAAGAGAACATTCATAAAAAGGAACAAGAATACAACAAAAGAATGAATCCAAAATGTAACAATAAATTGTGGAATAATGTGTGTGTGAGTGTACATATATAGCATGGGCCAAAAGAAAGGTTACACTTAGAATTCCACGTTAAAACAACAATAACAATATATATTGAAACAACAATTTATTGAGATAACAATATATTGAAAAAACAAAGTTCAAAGTATATTTTCAAAAATGTTTCCATCACATTTCATATGTAAGCCTACATAAATGATTTTTTAATAATGCAAGTTGTTGTTAAGTGTAACCTTACCTTTGGCCCACTCTGTATATGGATCATGTATACTCAAGGATGGAAGCCTTCCATTAATCTGGAATGCCTCCCATTATTAAACAACCAGGTCAGACATTTGTTCAGTTATTTATACTCTCTCCTCATCTTTAATACCTTTAAAATGTAAGGTGCACTGGATTTAAAATGTCAAGGGATAAAGGAGAATGAAAATGGAGATCAGTGATGATTGGCATGATGTATACCTGCTGGCCTTTGACTGTTTTGGCTACGCGAGTGTTCCCCAAGATGGTCATGATAATGAGGAATTCTTCTGGGGTACAGTCACTGATGAGCTTCTTGCATTTTTCAAGGAGGACTTTCTCTGCTTCTGCATTCATGATGTCTGGTCCAAGGCTTTTCAACTTCTCACTCAAGAACTTCAATGCTCGACCTCGAACCACCTCATCATCGGTCAGAATCTGCACAATACAATATTGGTAAAATACATATGCAATGTTAAGAAGATATAAAGCTGGGTAACCTTGGGCTACTTTCAATTGAAGTTACAATCACTTTACACTGAACAACTAAATCCCCATCCTGTCCAAATCATCAAACTAATTTTTACACTAATGGCTTGAAGTGGTTGCTGAAAGACTTTCCTGAAGAAACAAATTCCACCAATCCTCATGCTGACTAGTTCTCATGCAGACTAGATTATATCAATGCCAGAGTGACATGACAGAAAGCAAAGGAAAATCAATAATCACCCAGACAATTCTGCTGCTATGTTAAAGAATCTAAAGGGCTTACATAGCACATCGGGGAAAAACAGAAAAAAAATGAACACAATGGATTCTATCATATTGCACTCAAGTATTCAGGCCTGAATGAGCAACAGTGACCTAGAAACGACAGGGAAAAAAAGACATTGGACTGGAATTTGACCAACTACAACAATTTCAAGGAAGACCTCCATCTGTACCTGAGTGAACATGCCCCGAATAGCATCAGGAGCATGGATGTGGAGGAGGGCAACAAGGGAACTATGCACAGCATCCAGCTCGGTTGGCTCCTCTGACTGAAGGAGTTGTCCAAGGACATCTGCAATCTTGCTCACATAACCCTGCTGATCCTTGCAAAAACTGGGTAGATCCTTGATGGCCTGTTTGCGGATGGCCACATCATCATCTTCACACAGGTCCAGATGTGCGTTCAGTGCCCGGTCAGCCAGATTCGGGAAGTGTTTGAAGAAGCGGGCAATAAACTGGGATGCAAGACGCTTTTCATTGGGACCACCTTGCACAGCGAGCAAAATCTCCTTGTACTCTGCCTCATGCTCCAGTATTTTGTCCTTTGCATCAGCAAGGATAGCAAAGTTTTTGTACAGAGTTTCCACACCTGACATGATCACTCTGTGCTTCCTCCAAGCACCTAATTGTTCAACTAAAGGAACAAGTACCTCAATCAGCAAACAATATAGATAACACATTCCTTATATATTGCATAATACCTTGCAGGTGAAATTTTAGACATTAGACAGTCACACTGGTTGCATCATTTGACATCTGATCATCCACTCACTCACTCATTTAGGAAACAAGCAACAGTTGACCAAGGATACAGAGTAAAAGTTCATCAACATAGTCAATGGTCCAAAAGGTAAACTTCAGCTCATTATTAAAAGCATCAAGATATTATCAGTCACATCAGAATTGAGCAGATCTTCCTAAACAGTATATGAACCACATTATTTCCAGTTAGTCTACTTTTATGTTTCCAGAGTTTATCAATTTTGTCAAATTTTCACTCAACTCCAACACAAGGATATTAGAGTCCAGTGAAAAGTTGTCAGGCTCAAATTGAATGCATCAATTCCATGATGGACTGAATACTGGAATATCAAGGAAAATTTTTTAATAGAAATAAATCATGGAGGAATGAGCAAGAATTAGAAGCAAACAGTGGCAAGCCCACTGGGGGGGGGAGGGGTTATGGGGGTTATAGGGCCCCTCCCCCTTGGAATACACATTACAGGTTCAATTCTCAAAAAAAAAAAAATTGGATGGTAAATGCAGGGTGGGTTACCAATTTTTCATATGTTATTAGAATTTATATTTAAGTTTAAAATAAATTTAAATTCATATGGTGCAAAGAATAACTCATCAAATAAACTTAAATACCACTGCATTTAGTTGTAGCAAAAAAAGCTTGTCCTAAAGACCACCACAGTAGGCGATATGGGTAAAATAATGCAAGATGTTAATGGTAAATGGGAGAGAATACAACATAATAATAGGAGATGGTATGTTTGAGGAGGGTATAAGCAACCTCATATTTTTAAATAAAGGTAGCTCATTATGAAGGAAGCTCATCATGACTCAGACAACACATGGGAGATTGATTCCAGTTTAGACCAAGAGCATGAAATTTATGAAACTTGAATAAGGAAGGCCTTGAGAAAGACCTTGGCAACCAAGTTTTGGTTGCACTCAACCTGGACTTCTAATTGCTATTCCAAACTTTAAGGATTATCAAGGTCATGGAAGGAATTACAGTGACTCGGCATGTAATGAGAAATGTTTATTTTACACCATACAGGTGGTTTTCTTAAAAGGTACTGAAGTCTATAGATCAACACCTTCAGATACTATCTTTTCAGTACATTCAAGCATCAGGCCAGTTGACAGACTGATTGATTGGTACCTGAATGGGTTAAGGCAAAATTTTTTTAATAGGTACATCACTCATGTGACACAGAAAATGGAAGGTAAATGGAAGAGATTGGAAGTAAAAGCAGGCTGATTTGTATAAAATAAATCAAATGAGAGTGGTCCTATTCATTTCATTTTCAGAAGGAATCTATGTGCCAAACATAATTAAAACAAAAAATTATAATTTCCCATTCTCTTCCCATTTTCCTCTTCTTACTCCATGCTCACATAGCCAACAGAACTACCAACTTATAGACACAGGTTTTTATCAGCTAACTGATTTCAGCATCTGAGGGAAACAAGAACATGCTTTCATTCTTGCAATTCCAATGATGGTTCCAACTTCTCAAACCAGGACCAACTAGATAGCTAGTGTCTTAGGATCTCCCTTTACACGGCTTGTAAAAGATGTTGGAAATGTGTAACTTTTCCAAGCTTCATATTTTCTCCAATAAGCAAAACATGAAACTAGACAGATACAATAGAAAAAAAAGAATCAACCACATTTTCATGTGGGTCTCTTGGTATCACAGCAATGACAGGCTTGAAGGGATGCTCTAGCGACGGTAACGGTACCGCTTGAAGTGAAACCAGAGCTGAAAAATGTTGTTGTGGAACTGGCAGCGGAAACCCCTCCGGTACGACAACTCCCATTCTCGATTCACTATCTTGAATGCAATGTCTTCATATGGAGGCCCAGCCTTGAAGTGCAAAATTGCAAAATCTGGGTTCTCTCGACAAGGAATCTAAGGAAAAATAACATTCTTAGGTATTGGTTTAAAATTTATACACCATGAACGAAAAGCAAGAAACACTCTTAATTATGTGCTGCTTATTATAAGTGATTAGTTGAGTACACACTCAGAACATGTTTAATGATAACCATAAATTCAGATGCTTCCTGGCTGGATAGTGAATTGGCTTGTAGAGCACTAAAACAATGAGTAACAACTACCACATATTAAAAGAAGGATCTGACTTTATGACAGTTACTTCATACATGCTACATATGCAAGCATCCAAAATTCACATCATACCTGATGAACAGATGAAGCTAAATGAGGATTAGAAAATGCTCCAATATTTTTATTGTTTCATATGTCAATGATAGCATTCCTTTAACTCTCACCAGACCTAGACTATGGAAATGCACCAGATGCATGCAGAGCATGAGACAACTCACCACTTGGTAGCTGGGAGTAATTTTCTTATCAATCAGATCAGGATAAAAGATGTTGAATTTGTATCCCTGGACAATCTTTGGAGGGGGGTTGTCCATGTCATAATGGGTCTGATTGTACTTGTTCCATTCAAATCCTGTATGAACCCTAAAACAGAAAATATGAAGAGAATTTCAATGGGAAGTTTACAATGGCTTTTGTGTGACATGATCACTCAATACTATTGTCTTTACTGGTAATACCATATAACCAAGATTTGCTGAAAACTGTGTAACTGGAGACACAAATTCTCATTTTGGAATTCTGTGGCAGGAATTTTTCTTTCCTTGTACTGTGACAGCATTAAGTCATCCAGAAAAATTAATGTGTGGTGGAGGCTACCACAAATCTCTGCTCATCAGAATCAACATCTGACATTGGACATGTTTTCAACTGTACCAGTCAATGAAAGCTAGCATCACTGGGCAGTACAAAGCATCATTGCAATGACTACAGGTAAAAAAGACAGCCTTGACAAAGAGACATGTGCAGGTTGATAGACAAGCTACAGTAGTCTATCTCAAACTAAGACCATTCCATCAGATTCAGAGATAAGGTTTTAGTATTCAAATCAGGGTTTATCAAGGTAAATGGGAATCCAATATTCTACAGACCACTACCATTCCTATTTCCCTTCCTTTTTCCCTTGAGAATGTTCCAAAGCAAACTCGAATGGCATCAACATGCATAAGTTGAGAAGTTCCACTCAAAAAGTATCATAGACCCCATTTATAACTGTGTACAGAGACATACTTCATGGACCTTATAATCCTCTAAGCCCTTGGCTTAACACCAACACATGGATTCAGGATACATCTCTTATTTGTGATCAGATTCAACTTGAAAGTTGGCACATGGCTCAATTCTGACGTACGAGGTTTCCCTCTATTCACAATGTCACATGAGTTTGACCCATTCAATATACTGCCTACAGGTAGAGAGAGACACAAGAGTGGTTTTTCATGATCATTCCATAAAATTCCCTTTTCATCAATACTCACATCCTTGCTTCATCTCCAAACCTGGCCTATTCCTGCAGTCACAACAAACATTAAACTCAGTCCTGTGGATACAATAGGTTCTGCAGGAAATCGATAGGAAAAAACAATGTGCCAACACAACATATGAGTGTTTCAGGCCAAAATCTAGATTCCCCAAGCAAAATCCTTGAAGCAGGCAAACCAGAGCTACATGCATCTCAGCTATTATAATCCCCCCACCCCCAGGGCATCAAGGGGTACATCATGCATTCTTTATCAATGACATCTTATTTGCTTATTTCAGTTCTTGATCCCTCTAACCAATCTACCATGGAACTCAACTATCTAATTTGATGCAATATTATGGGCATGGATAACCACTGGAGTCTCTACTGTCAAGTCTCACCAATACTTGATGATCTCAAGCATGAACACATTCAAATTTTGATATTCCACTCTTTGTACTACATCAATAAGTAACTGGTTTTAATTATATTACATTATTTTTTAATGTGAAGAAAAGCCAAAGTCACCAAGAGCCAACACACAAACATCATTAGTGCAGAAATAATCAAGCTTAACATGACTCTTCTGACCTGGCTTTGCATGTAAAGTCAGACTTTTCGTATTATGATCAATTTGTAAATATTATGATCTGATTTGAATTGAGCTCATAGGTAAAAACTAAATGTCTGAGTGGAGACTTAAAAAAAAAAACCCCCAGAAACATACCTGTTGAAGTAACGAGGCTTTCGAGGTCGATATTTGTCAGACCAGAGATACGCCTGGCTGTCCACATCAGCTTCAACTGAGAAGACAGCTTCATCATCTGTCATCCCCTTCCTGGCTTCCCTCTGCAGTGCCTGCTCTTCTGCTGTCATCACGTTCTATCAACATCCAAGCAATACAACCCCCAATTCAATCAAAATTTTTTGCATTACAGAAGAGATTTTAATCCCCATAAGCAAAATTGAATAGGCTTTGAGGAATGACATTCTACTAATAATGGAACAGGCAGCAATGAAGATCCTGTGCCTTCCATGACTTTCAGTAACTTAGTACATAACTTAGTACATACTCAGAACTTAATATTGTCTGGAATCTCACTCCAGATTCCAGTTTGCACAATAATCTCTTTCTTCAAGTGATACTGATTTCTGATTATTTTTCGGCATTTAACTTTGGGAGGAAACAAGTTTTATTCTTTCTAGTAAGCAAACCTGACATGACTGCTATGATCTTCCCACACAATTTCCCTTCCTATAGAGAGTACTTGACTAAAGCTTTTCCCTCCCTTTTACCTTGATTCACAAACAGCTGTTGCTCCTACATTTGAGAAGTATGCTAGAAGCATCTGAAAGATATGTGGAACAGTGATAAATATGGAAGAGACTCACAACAATCTTGTCTCCAGTATGCAGGACTCGCTGACGGTCAAAGGCAAGTTTCCTCTCGTCATCTTCTTCAGTCACGACCAGGGTCCCTGGCTCAAGATCCTCCATTTGCAGCAGCTTGGGGCTGTAGCGACCACTCTCATACTCAGATATTGCCTTGCTGATTACATCCACATCTGGGGCTCTGCAAGGGGTCATGCATAGTCATCAGAAGCATGTCAAAATTATTAACACATGTCACAAGGATAAGGATCAGTGCTCAGTGCAGTGTTGGGGTTGAATGCCCACCAAGCCAGAAAGAGACATTATAAAGATTATGTCCCTCAATCACAGGAGGAAGATGATTGGAAAAAGGCAAAACTCACTGGAAATCAGCTCTTTCCTCTTCTATTTCTTCCTCTTCAGCAGCCCTTGAAGATCCTTCAGCCTGGGGGTTCTCAGGGGTAGAAGTGACAGACAAATCAATTTCACCCTCTTGTTTAATAGGGAACAAAGGACCTCTGGCAGTCTCATCATCTTTGTCTGACTCGTGCTCCTTTACCCCTTGCTCTGCCTTCATCAGTTCCAGCTTCTTCTTCAAGTTGGCCTGATGACGTTCGCGGAGTCGAGCACGGGCCATGAATGCTGATGAAAAAAAGAATTTAACATTTCATTATATGCTTACTTTCCTTAAAACTTCATTGGGCTCCTGAGAGCAGTTTCTCTTACAATTTACAGCCATATTGGGTGGAGAATCAGGTCAACCAAATCTACTTGTATATCATTGTTAGAGAACTTTTCATTCTGGCAACCAGCCAACTTTACTAGTTACCAGAAAAAAAAAACTGTTTTGGTTTAGGCTAGATGGCAACCTAAGGGCTAAGGCATTCTTCCATCAGTTCACGTATAGTGATGGTTTTACACATGCTATACAAAAATTTTCTCAAGCCTTTAACCCATTCTCTGGCACTGATACATTAAGATGTCAAGACTTTCTCAATTATTTCCTGCCAGAGTAGAAAATTCAAATAGGTCAAGCCAGTGAATTGATTGCTCATATATAACCATGGAGCTCTCGTGTTCAATTTAGCCTGTTCCCTAGCATGGTTTATTTCAATGTTCCATACATCAGGCAATGATCAGGAAAGACTTGATGTTATGAAACATAATGCCAAGGAATGGGTCAACTGTAAGTCTCAGCATACAACAGAATATTTGTTCTAGGTCAGGAACGAAAACACTCCAAGAACAGTAAATTGGGGGAAAATATTGAATACCAATTTGAATCAAGGTAGTTTCAAGCAGACACCCAAACAAATAATGGAAAATTTCATTTAGAAACTTAGCTTGGCTTGAATACCATGTGCCCAAAAAGTTTCTTAAAAATTATAATTTAAACAGTTTTTGAAAACAATCTTCTGGAAACAGATAGCTCTGATATTTCTGATTATAACAGCCCACATGACTCTCCAGTGAAGCATCCCATATTCTTTTCCTATAAATACATGTGGATTACGCAATTACAGTTGGTTTCCTTCCTTTTGGAAGGTTAGGAGCCACCAGCAACTGTAAATTCCATGGGGGTTGCCATGTAGCTCCACTGTGGGCTGTCAGTGAAAGCATATTCAATCAGGCACATCTTTTCCTGTCACTCTGTAGTCACCATCAAGGAAGAGCAAATAGCTTCCAAACCCTCTGAGATGTAATTCCCCTATTATTCCCCCTCTCATATTGAATGGTAAAGCATTTGGGGCAGGAGAATCGGCAAATTAAATTGGAAAGAATTAACGAATGTGCCCAGTTAGATGTTAGATCAAGTTAGATGTTTCCTCCATAGAACTCTCCATAGAAACTTACCATTCAGCTGAGAAAGGAGAGACTCCCAATAAGCAACATCAACTCCTTCTTCATTCCCATGAACCTTGGCTGTAATTTGGGCCTTGAGAGCCTCCAGTTGAGCAGGGGTCTTGCCCTTGAAGACATTAGCCACATCACCACTCACTGCTTGATGAATTCCCTCTCTCCTCTCTCCCAACAGGTCCCCCTTCGACTGAGCTTCCAGTTTTTGCAATTTCAGCAACTCATCCACCACTATAATGGTCATGTCTGTCCAAAAGTCTAGATTATTCCCCCTCTCCAGCTCTTTGTATACCTGCAAAAGAGCAATAATAAAATTGAAAATCCACAGAATCACTACATTCTGCAGGTTTCAGTCAAAACCAAAGGCCCCAAATAGACCTAAAATTACTTTTGGAGTGTTAAGTAAAACAAGACTGGCTTAGTAGGTAATTTTAATCTCAAAAGCCTCATCCATGGCTTAAGGGTAAACTTCCTACATTTTGAAAAATCTACTTGTTTTTTTTGCATGTCATGCTTGGATGTTCTGAAATCTTACATTGGGAAGGGAGGTGGCAGCTAACATGACAGAAGCAATGGGCTAAGCAGATCTTACGATGACTGGAAGAGCCTGGAGGTTGATCCCTACAGTTGTTGACTGCCAGTCACAGAAAACACTTTGCAATGTTCACAGTAGCTTTTCTCAACTGATTCAATACTAATTTCCTTAGAACTACATAGTAATTTAACAGTAATCCAAATATCTTTACACATAGTATTCCCACAGTATGACATATGTCCTCATTCACTGCAGATCATCATCCAGACTCATTGTCATTGTAAGATCCACTCATCCAGCTGCTCAACCAGGTTCTCTGTCATGTTAGCTGCCAGGGGGAAATTGCTGGAATTTGCTTATAATTGTCCTCAATTCAATTGACATGAATCTTCCTTGTTTTATGCCTCATAGAAATTTGACAACAGTTACATTCTAAATGTTAAAATGAATGTTGGTAAGTCACAAAGTTTAGCATTAAACCTGTCAAGACAATATCACAAAATTTCAAAACCACAGCTAGGAGTGCACCAAGGTTAAAACTTTTACAAATATCCTTATCTCATGAACTAACCTTGATATCTTCAATCAGATCCTCTAGATCACTGATGCCAAGGCCTGTGAGGTAAATGTAGGGCTCATGCATTTCAACAGCATCCATGTCTTCCTCTGAGCTGACGTACTTGGCCAAGAGGTCAATGGGTTTTGCTCGTCCATCCTGAATACGGATCTTGGAGCGAAGTCTGGCCTGATTCAGGTGGAATTCATCTTCCTGTTGCTCCCAGGCTTTAAACTGAGCAGCTTCCCTTTGGCGCTGCACAAGGGAGGCTTCATCCTCCCTGGCTGCCTTCTCTGCTTCCATTGCTATTCGTCTCAGCTTCACCTTTTCCAGTTCTTGCTAAAGAGGGAATAGTCATCAACATGGTAAAACCTTCATGGCCCCAAAAAGCTGTGAAGAAAGAAAAAGTTATTGGTTAGGCTTTCCTCACAAGTGGCAGGGAATAAAAGCATCTCACTTCCACCAGTGAGTTCAACTTTCTCAAAGCATTTAAGCCTATGTAATGGTGTGGGATTGTTACTTATAGTATATAGAGTTTGCCCTATCAGACAAGATACACCATCACAAGAATTTAGAAGAAACCAGGATCCTCACAAGGTTAGAGTGGAGTGGTGTGAAAATGGGGTGTTGGACCTATTGAGTAGACCCTGGCCCAAACCTGTACTTGAGTATCAGGTCATAGATCTATGAACTGGAATGATTAAGAATACCAGTAGGCAAAATAGAAATAAGATTTTACTGACTAACAATAGCAATAACAAGGGATTAGTTTAGGCCTATAGGACTGCATAGATGATGATGATGATGAAGATGAAGGCCAAGAATCACAATTTGAGGAGTCCAATTCTTGAGTTCAAAAAAGGAAGGAATCATAGGAGCAGTCACCACAACTGGCTGTATTTCTGAATCTTCAAAGTTGGATATTTAATAATATTAATAACAATAATAATAATAATCAATTAATCTAAATGCCAAGCTTATTCTATAGGGGATGCTTAGGCAGGGATCCTTCATTATGTGAACACCTAGGTGTTCACATAATGAAGGCAATGCTGGCTTTGTCTTGTGTACACCCCCTGACAACATACACCATGGGGTACAGTTGTCCCATTACGTGTTCATTGAGCCGTATGTCTGATGCAGTGCACCCAAAATTGTTGGAACCTCAAGTTCTTTACTTATGTTTCTTCTTAGAATTGAAAAACCCCCAAAAACCTGATTTCATGAGATTCCCTGGCAGAAATGTCAGTGTCCTTTATTTATAGGAAGGTCAATGGGAACAGAAACTCTTTCACACTACCATCTATACCATGCACACTATAGTAATGTACAGGCAGGCCTGGGACTCCCGGCAAAACCTTGGAGAGCAGTGACGTGCCATCACCTACCAATTGGTATACTGCCAGTCATCCTGGACACCATTGGATTTATCTCAGAGTGCATATAGGAGCTGCATCAAGAAAACTGGGCTTGGGACCTATCATTCCAGAGAGGCAGCTCAAAGTGGAGGTTCTCGCAAATCGCAACCATCCCCATGATGGTTTGTGAGGTTCAGAGGTAGATTGTTGCCATCCAGAAGAACCTACAGATTGAGCAGCTTCTCATGATCATCTGGTTTTCCTGACACATCTCCAATATGCATCCTGAAATGTCCAGAATGATGGGACATCTCAACCAGACATGACATCAAACATTGGGGATTAGTAGGCCTACCTAATGCATGGTGAATATATGTGAGTAGTGTACACAATACAGAGTCTGTGATGTGAGGGAGTGTTCACATAATGAAAGATACCCACTTAGGCCTAGTGAGTCAGGACTTATATCATCTCTCCAAGGCTGAGATACAAGCCAGACAAGGCAATCAGACATGCACACTGAATGAAAAAAGGCAATGAGAACAAAAAGGTATGGCTGTCAGGAGCCTACATGTATAGCCACAAGGTTGGCAGTGCTGCTGTTACCCCATTACACTGTTATAGTAGTATGCATTAATTTGGAATAGAATCAAATCAGGTAGGACTCAAATAAGGTTAGGTACTGGTATTGGTACTTAGAGAATTCCTGATAAGGAATGAGAATTCTACTCCACAAACCTTGTTTTCCTCCATCTTCTGCCGATTCCGCTTCTCCAACTCTTCATGTGATATACTGTCTAAACTCAGTCCTTCTTTTTCCAATTTTTTGCCCCACACAAAGGATTGGAGGAGGTTGTTGTCACCAAATGGATTGTCTGCATTAGTGTAATGAAGGTAATCAGTGTCCCACCCCATTTGCTCCTTTCTTTTACGCTCCTTTGCCTCCTTCTTAAGAAGTCTTCGGATACGCTTCTGTTCTGGGGTCTCCATGGCCTTCATACGCTCTTTCTTACGCCTCTGTTCCTCTTTCACTCGTCTCCTCTCCTCTTCTAGTCTCTGGAGTAACTGCAACTCAGCATTCGCAGCAGCAACAGCAGGACTCGTGGAGTCCGAGGATGATGATTCCGAAGACGTCGACCTGTGGCCACGGTCAGAGGATGAAGACCTGCTGGACAATCAATAAAGAGAAGTTCAGCAAAGAAAAGAGGAGAAGCCTTTCTTTCTTTCTTTGTCTATTTTTCCAGTTAATAGGAGGGCACAGATGTGGGATGCAGCCCATGAGAGTCCAGGCAAGGAGAAGAGAGGGGAGGGAGAAGAGACAGGAAATAAAACAAGAGGGACAGGTGCATAAAGAAACATGTTGGGCAAGCTCAATCCATTCAGTTAAGGAAACCCTCATTTTGTCGCCTAATTACACAAAATGATATCTCTTTCTGGTCTTTGACCATCAAAAACCTCACTTCTCATTTATATTTGGTAAACATAGACAAATAATGCCCATGAAACAATGATGGGAGGGTGGAGGGCTGTGCATGGTTGGATCCATCTACCACAAAGGTTGGTAGGGAACTGACAGCTCTGGTTGCTGACATGGTGCTGTGCTCAAAGCCTGGGTCATATGCACATTGTGATCTACATCCTGAAGTACCCACAGGTACTTATGACTTTCCCTCCATTAGTAAATTTCAAATCCAAAATGCAATAAACATGCCAATTTTGGTGCAAATTTACCACAAAATGAACTCAGCCTGTATATTGTTTGTATCAACCCACTTACCAATTTTTGCATTGATAACTAAAAAAATATTGGTCTGCCAATATTTTTTAAGCTATCATTGGACAGCCAAAGTGTGAGACACGGTCAGGGCAGGACTATAAGTGGTCTCTTTCCTTTCAGGAAAGAAGGCCCACTAAAAAGAGCAACAAAGATGGAATGCAGACATAATATAGAAGCAGATACAGGTGAAGGCAGAGTCAGGGTAGGAAAAGGACACTTAATAATCACTGAAAAAAGCAAAAGGTAATGGTGTTATATGCACCTGGACAGTTCATTGAAATGTTGATTAAGAAGCTGGAGGCAGGAGGGGAGATTTATTACAGCCATATCATGGATAGATGAAGGGGGGTAATTCCATAGTTTGGGTAAAAGATTAAATATTTGCAATGCCATTCTGCATCTTTTTACATTGAAAGCTAGGGAGGACTGTCTGAGTATTGACTGAGAGGCAGCAGAGTTTTAGGGAATTGAAGTTATTACATGAGTACAGACTCTTCAGGCAGAAGGAAATAGCTAAGAACTTCCAATGATTCTCTGGAGACATTAAGTTTAAGATTCTCAAGCGTGTGGGATATGGAAGTGAGTAAAGTTTGTCAAATTTCAAAATGTGACAAGTAGTTATGCGCTGCATACACTCAAGTTTAATTATGAGTTTTGATGTACATGGCATCCAGGCAGGGGCACCAAAGTCAAAGTGAGGCTGAACCAATCTTATGTATACAGGGTGGGCCAAGAAAAACTTCAGTTATCTTTATTGCTCTACAGTACTGGTCCCCAAGAGTTAGCTAAAAATGTAATAGTACCTCCATGTAGAACATTCATTTTGCTTTTGAAAGATGTCAACAAAAAATAAAGGTTCATGGCCTAACTACCACACAGTTAGAGTATGAGAGGTGGTGCTGGAAAAGTTGGTGCCATACTGCTATTTCAGTCAGTGCATGCAAGACTTGACCTACTCGCCATAAGCGAAAGAATGGATGTCAGCAGAAGCACATCCCACATTGTACTGGTAAGTGCACTTTTCAAGCATTACTGCTATTACATTTTACGTTACTGCATCGGAATGACAAATTGAATCTGAAATCTTTAGATATCAGTGGAAAGCTAGATAAATGTTTTATTGAAAAACACTATTACAATATTTTTTAATGCCTGAGAAACAACACTACAAAACGTTAAAGATAACCGAAGATTTTATTGGCCCACCCTGTAACTCTCAGAGAGTGGGTTTGTCACAATCCTAGAAGGTGAGGAAGATCACTCCAAGGATCTTAGATGATTTAGAACAAATTAGGTGTGTGGTCATTCCAGGAGAGATTATTGATCAAGCAACCAAGTTGCTTATGGGAATTGGATATAGTGAGTTTTTCATCAGCAATAGAGTACTGGGGCATGGAGTCTATAGCCAAATTCTTGCAGTATGATGACGTAAGTTTTTTTTTTTTTTTTTTACATATTTAGGGAACCAAGATTGGTGCTACACCAGGCCTCCAGTTTGTTAGTCAGACTGGGAAAGAGACCCCATCGGGGGAGTTTCTAGTGGCCTTGTTGAGTTCAACCTACCAGGAAGGACTTAATCCGTTCAAGGATAGGCCTACTTATGCCATAGAGGTGGTCTAATTTATGGAGTAATATAGAATGGAGTACTTCATCTAAAACTTTACAGAAGTCTAGGGTGAACATGTCATTCTGCAAACCACTGAGTCATTATAGGCAGATGAGATGGTGCACCAAAGCAGGCTTAGTTGACCTAAGGCTGATCTACCAGGCAGGAATCCAAACTGGTTGTTGTGCAATAGGCCAAGTTCTTGGAGATGGTCTGTGATGCGGATGAGCAGTGTCCATGGATTTAAAGGTGGTTTTTATAATCAGATTTATGGATGGGGACATTTGTGGTTTTCCAAATGGTGGGAAGCTTAGCTGTGAATAGGGATAAATTAAAAAGAGCAGTTGGAGGTGAGGTAATACCTGGGGCAGAGAAACAAAGATATCTGGAACTGATCTCATTGGGTCCACACAAATTCTTATTTTTTAAGAGAGGAGAGAGCTTGCTTAACCTCAAGTTTTCTGATAGGAGCAGATCCAATAGCTAGCTTGTTGGGTAGATAGAAGTTGTGAGAGGGAGGGGTGTGAGTGGTGGGTTTGATACTAAATAAACTCTGGAAGTATTTTTTGAATTGATAAGCAATGATTTTAGAGTTTGAGATATCACTGCCCTCAATGAAGTTCTTTTGAGCCTTCCCAGAACTTAGATGATATCTGATGAAGGCCCGCCCATAAGCATTTACCTGAGTTGCCTTTGGCTAAATTGGTAAAAAAAAAAAAAAAAGGTAGAGTAGGAGGATTGGATCTGAGCTGAAACATGTCTGCATAATTATATTTATTTGAGTAATAAAGACTTTGAACTTTTTTGAGCTGGAGAGCTGCATTTTGCTTCCATCTGCAGAGAAAGATGATATATGCAGTTACTCAAGGGAGGTTTGAGCAAGGGTGATAGGTTTTGGCTGGGATATGGCAATGGACAATATCTATAAAGTTCTTGGGAGAAAACCTCACAGGCAGAGTCAATGTCTGCTGGGTTGTCAGTCAAGACCTGTTGGTTGCTGAGGTTGTGCCAATGAGTTGAGATCAAGGCCTGATGGAAGGCAAGGGTATCACAGGCCAAAAACTTCCAAAGTGGGGCATGGTTAGCATTACGTGGAGAGGGTTGGGGACGAGGTTCAGGGAGATCTATGTTGAAAGTAACCACATGATGGTCTGCTGAGCCTAACCCTGGTATGACAGAGATGCTGGATAAAATTTCAGGGAAGAAAGAGGAGGTCCAGGATGGAGCCTTTGGCCATGTTTGCTGGATTTGGTCTAGTGATGTCAGTTACAGCTAGGGATAATCCAAGGGAGTTCATTGTGATAAGTAGTATATCCTGGACAGTGCTCCTGGGACTAGATGAGATGAGTGGGAGCCAGTCAATATTAAAGTTCCTGGGTGAATTGCATAAACTGACTTTAACCTAATAGAGCTTTAAACCTCCTTTAGTGGAGCTAAAGGAGGTCTAAAGGAGGTTTAAGGTGGTGCTAAAGGAGGTTTAAACTAGTCATGTGGAGGCCTGTAAATGATACAAAAGAGCAGTTTACCCTAGTTGAGCTATCAAGAGAACCACGGAGATTCAGTAGAGGACCCAACAAGAGGGGGAGAGATGTTCAGAAATGAGCAAAAAACAGAGCAGATACCTCCTCCATAAGAGTTGCAGTCAAATCTTAGACATGAAAAGCCAGGAGGGCAGATTGCTGAGTCAGGGAGGTCAGTGGATAGTCAAGATTCAGTGATAAGGAGTGTCGCCAAAGTTAAGACATAAAGAAAGAAATTCGGTCAGTTTGTTTTTAAGGCTGCAAGCATTGAGGATGCACTTTAATGAGTTGGGTACATTTGGGAGAAGCCTAGAGAGGACAAGAGGCATATGATGAGTTTTCGAGCTTCAGCGCTAGCCTATCCTTAACGTAAGACGTACTTTTGCTTCCGGCTCTTGTGTTTCTTCTTTTCATATTCCTTGGACCGAGCCCTACTCTTCTCCTTGGATTTTGAACTGCGGTGGTGCCTGTGCTTGGATTTTCTGTCGGAATGTCCCTCTTCCTTTTCTTTCCTGTGCTTCGACTTTGTTCTCGATCTCTCTCTATCCTCATCGGTTCCCATGATGAGTCTACGTATTCACTTCCACGTAAATTAGAAGTCACACGTTCGACTTGATAATTAAAAAAATGACAACACACGCTCGATTCAACGAAAGTGACAAAGGCCGCAGAGAAAGACTCGAAGTTAGCGAACGGGATTCACCGTCACGCCAACGTTTTCGCAGGCTGAGCTCACAACGAGGAGGAATCCATGAGAGAATGCCGGAAGCGTCACCTAGGAAAGCGTCAGGGAACTAATCCCCTGGCCTGTGCATTGATTGGGTGCGTTCGCGATCTAAGCCGCTTTCACCCAACTCCGTTGTGCATTCGTCTCCTTCGCAGGGAATACGTACTCGCAGTGCGTTGCGCTTCCGACTGCTTGCAACGCGGACGTATGCGCCTGGTCCGTAAGGTTTCTCCCTGCCCATGGGACTGCGGTGATAATTCGCGGGACTTCCGCGAATTATCATTACGAGAGGCTTGGAACCCATGAACTTTGCTTTCAATTAGTACGTAATTAGTGAAAAGCTCTCCATTCAAATTGCAGAACGTCACATTTCGATATTCGAGGTATTTCCCTCGTAAAGAGGCCTTCTGCCTCCCATCATGTAATGCCTTGGCACTCGTGCCCAGAGCTGCAAGACCGTCAAAGCGAAAAATCTCCAATCTCGTAAATGCACCGGGATAAAAAAAAAAAAAAAAATCTTTTACGGACGGCTCTGGATGTCCTGCGACTCCTTTCATCGTCTGACAGCAGGTGGGATGATAAGAGTGATGGGGAGAAAAAAGGCCTCACCCTTTTCCATTTTGGAGGCACTCCAATTCACTCTAAATTCACTCGATCACTCCCCTCTGAACAAAATTAGATGGGTTCCGCCATCCGGATGGACACAAAAAAATTCTAATTCTGAGGACACTAAATTCCCGGAAACCAAGAGTTCAGCGACGAGATTTGGGTTTGGGAAATTATTAACTTAATCAGACAATTTAATTTTATTTAAATGCGTTCGTTGGCTAAGTCAGAACCATCGGTAAATTCCAAGTTTTTGTAGAGATTGCCGTTTCGGAACTTCTTCCAAACTGAGGAAAATCAGTAGACGTACATAATGCCGGCGGGGAGATTTCCTCTTGAACCGATTATAGATATATTAGAGTTTCATGATAACAATAAAATAAATTCCAACAGTAATGTCATGATAAATGCTGAAGTAGGAGCGTGCCTTCCCTCCTCCTTCCAGGAAAGCTGGATGATTTGGCTTTACTTGCTTCATGAGGTATTGGTCCGTTTCTGGAGGTGTCCCTGGACACCTCACCCAAAGAGCCATTTTTCCCCTATAATTACAAATTATTAAATTTTGCTTATCCCCATGAATTTACTTTCCCTACCGAGTGACTCACCATTAAAATGAGTATTTAAAGAAAAGGAATATCCAATGTTTATTGGGAGGTGTCGAAAGGAAATAACTTCATCGTTCATATTCAAAAATCGCCGAAGCTTTACAGACGATCGCCAAATCCAGAAGCTCAGCAAAAAGGTCGAGAACGGAGGAATGAAAATAAAAACTCTTTTCAAGTCCCCTCCAAAGTCACGCTGATGGAAGCAAAATGCAGCTCTCCAGCTCAAAAAAGTTCAAAGTCTTTATTACTCAAATAAATATAATTATGCAGACATGTTTCAGCTCAGATCCAATCCTCCTACTCTACCACCCCCGCCACTCGACTGAATAGACCTCGCGGCCCCGACGTCCCCATTCATCCTTTCTTCTGTCCTCGCTTCGTTCCTCTCGAATTTAATTTCCTGGGGGAAAGTTTATGTTCTCGCGTTGCACATCTTTTTGCGACGCACCAATCCGCCGTGCACGATTCTCGACTCCGCCCGTTCTCACGCACAAAAATAAGTTCTATCGCCAACGCTGGGAATTCATATATTTTGCAATGGTAAATGCTGCATTTTCCCTGTCACGCATAAAATTAATTTATCATTCTTGTTGATAAAATATACAATGTTAAAGCGTAATTCCCTGTTGCAACCCCTTTCATACACAAATGCCCAAATCAACGGTTCTGAAAGCCAGCATTACAGTTACAAACGAACGGGTTTCAATTAACGCATCACGAATGGAAATTGTTTCCCTTGCATCGGGAGAGTCGCAGCCTCCGGGGAGAAGAAGTTTCCAATTCAAATCCACCCGTTTCAAGATGGACTCAAAAAAAAAAAAAAAAACGTAAATGGAGTCCTAAACCCTCGATCAGAGAACGAAACGCACGTGAACTTTTATGTTCAATGCATCTGATGAAATAATATATATTTAAAATTTTGAAGCTGGGGCATATGCATAATTTTGAGACAACGCGGAAATGGGATCCAACAAGCAGTCTCCTCTTCCTCAGTTTGGCCAATGGCGAGATATCACTCACAGCACCATTACCGAACGCATTATTTGTAATTCTAACTAAAATGGATTGTATTTGCTTGCGAAGGAGGCTGCGAAGAAAAAATTGTACTCCTCACTAAAGTTAGTGAAACTTTACTCGCTACTCCCACTGTACCGATACAGTCGAACCACAGAAGGATGCATCCGCGAACGTATAAGATCTGGATGTTCGCGAACGCCCAAGACCTGCGACGTTCGCGAACGTCCGAGACCTGCGATGTTCGCGGGTGCATCCATGGCTCAGCAGATGACAGATGACATCCGCGTCGGGGCTTCGCGGCGCGCCGCCCCGCGCCCATACCAAGGGTTCAACTTGGCTCCTGTTATGAGCTGTATGAGCGATCCTGGATCGAGGATACGTGCAAAACTTTTGGCAGAAGCCTCCCTTCGTCGTGTGCATCCTCACGGCGCAGCTCATAAACTACCGTGGCATTCGCGCACATCGATGGCATTTCTCCATCATCCGTCCTTTCGATGGAGAGATATCTGGTTGAAGTAGGTACCATCAGAGAGCAAGATGTCCGAGATTGCGAGCCGCAAATGCAATTCCTGGCAATTGAATTGCTGGAAAGCCGATTCCCGATCGATAAAACGGCACCGAATCGGAAGAAATGAGCGTGGGAGGACCGTAATCCCGTATCGCCTTCTCTCGCCTCCGACGATCCGTGCCCGACGATCGATGCCAATCGATCCGCAGCATTTCCGTCATGACGTCAATGGGGCGATAGATCACGGATGAAGAACGAGCCACGGATGAAGAACGAGTCAAGAATGAGAACCCAAAAGTTGTCTTCAAGTCAAGCTTTTATTGCTGTCTCGGAAAAGAAAGTCCCTCTCCTTCGATGAGCTTCTCGGGGAAAGAACAAAAATAATCCAGTCTATGAAGGCATGAGGAAGACTAGATGCACAACTAGATGCACGACTAGATGCACCTCTAGATGCAAATACTTCAGGAACCGATTCGGAAATGGAAGACGATCGTGGACTGCGGTCCGTTCGCCTGGAAGCAGTCATGAAAGCACCGGCCAAATTGTTGTGTCCCTCAAAGTGTTCAATCATACGAGGTTTAATCAAATTCGTAAATCTTAAAGGGCTTGAGCAGAGGGTATTATCGGAAGTGGCAGGGGTGGCACGAGGACACGATTGCGAGGACCCAGAAATGATCGAAAGAAATTTTGCCGCAGAGAGGAGAGAAAATAAAAAAAAAAACGGAACCGGACTTTCGAAATTCCTACCCTAAAGGAACATTTTTTCCCTTCTATTCTTCGGACAGAGAGACACGACACCAAATGAAGACGTATACACGAGCATCAACACTAACAACTGGGAGTGTATCGTTATATGGCACAACTATCACATTTCGATCGTGACTAGCATCCTCATGAGAATTGAAACACATTGCCCCTTCGCCTCGACTCGCCTCGTCTAGAGCAGAAACAAAAAGAGCCGCGATCCGAGTGCCTAACACTCCAAAATCTTCCGGAATCACCGACTTCTTCCGCGGACTCACGCCCCGCGACCCGTTCGCGCGTCACACAGCCCCATCGTCACACGGCCCGACCGTCACATGGCCTGCACGCTCATGAGATTGTGATGCGAGTTGGCGAAGGATTGCTGGCTGGGGATGGAGGTGAGCCCGAACGACGAGTAGTTGTTGGCTTGGACCATCTCGAGCCAGGAATCGCGGCAGGAGAGGTCCGAGGGACCCCAGTCTTCCGTGGGTCGTAGGGATTTCAACAGTTTCTGGAACAAAGAAAAAAAACTAAGCGCTTAGCTTGGGGGGAAAGGGGTTCGACTCGCTTAAGGCGAGGAGGCGGAGTGTCGTCGATTTCATTTCTTTCTTTCTGTGCCGATTTTCTTCGATTTCTGCGACCGAAACTTGAAAATTGCATTCGAACACCAGGTCACAAAAGTCCTCGCAGAATAATTCACTTTAAAATTGATTCAAGTTTAATTTTTGTGCAGCTAGAAGTTCGCAAAGATCAAAGTTTACGTGCAACATTCAACAACTTTTCCAAGATCGAACGCTGAAACTGCGCCACTAACAACCGCAAAAAAATCTCGCCGAATTGGAATTTTTTGCACGGCGGCATCGCACTCGTCCTCCAAGCACGAAATTGCATTGCCTCGAAAGGGGCTATTCTTATCTAAAGGGTATTCACCTCACATCCCCTCCTTTCGCGGCGGAATTCCATTTGGGCCCTCGAAAGGAGCCCAACTTTTAAATTCTCGATCGGGACGGCCTGGGCTCCGGTCCAAAATGCATTTCGTCCGGGTCAAATAAGGCTTTTCCATTTATCCCAAATTTTAAAATTTATTTTATAATTTTGTGGCAAGAAGTCGCACTAAGACACACATAAAGCTAATTATGAACAAGTTCATTCGTTTCAAGGAGCCTCTCCACCTTCCACTTCAATGCCGTGACACGAGTCGAACACCTCCAATAATTTAAACACCTTTCCAGAAACGAGATGGCTACAGCACCCAATCCTCTCGACAGTGGATATCGCGCTTAACGATATTCTGGCATCCCTGTATTCCACATCCGACAACCTGATTCGGCTCCTTCCCTTGCAGACGAAGCGGAAAAATGTCAACAAGTCGAGTGAGACCTGAACTTTGAACAAATGAAGATTTGGTTATGAATGGACGACAAAAAGAAAACGATTGCTGCAGCCCTGTTATATTTCTTTCCGATTTGGTTAGTATATTGTAGGTGCCTTTTGATTGGTTAATGAACTTCGTGGATCGATGCGGCATTTTCCCTTAGACTGTCCTCATTCTCACGATAAAAAATAAATCATAATTGACATTAAAACCTCCCTGCTTCCTATGCCTATAGTCCCTTGTTTTCCCTAGCCGCTATAATGTCTATTGGCATTACATAGGAAAGGCAAATGCAGGTGCCTTTCCCCAGACAACGCAAGTTCCCATCATCAAACGACGAGATTCTCCCGGCTCGGTCGCACGAGACGGCGAAATCCTAAAATCTCACCCAAAAAAATCAGTTACCTCTTTGAAGGTCGCTCCGGGAGACCTGATGACCGCAATGACAGCCCAGATGGGGATCTGTGCCACAGAGATGAGGGCGAGAAACCACCCGATCCCATCAGCCCAGTCCGGGTAATCGTATTCCTCGTAGTGAAGCGGCTGGTGCATGATCAGCGAGTAGACGAAGATGAACTGCGAAGCAAGGACAGACCTCTTTTCTACCACCAACTGATTAGAATTAGAAATTAATTTTGAATTTACCAGAAGTAAATTCAAAATTTACCAGAAGTAAATTCAAAATTTACCAGAAGTAAATTCAAAATTTACCAGAAGTAAATAAATATTTAAGAATTAACCGAATTAAAGCACATTAAGTTACACCTAAGCAACACTTGTCTTCCACGCATAACATTTTTAAATTTTAAATACAGCAGTATATTAAATAAAAGTTGGGCGAGGGCAGCGGGGAGTCACCAGCATGACGAGAGGAGCGAAGAAGAACCAGGTGCTTTTCCAATACCAGCCGGGTCTCTTCCCCAGCATGAATTCGACGTCGTCGCAGAATCTCTTCAGACCTGTTGGGAGATCGTGAGCGGTGAGGAAATGCGAGCGAGGAAGCGGGGATGTCGCGGGGCAAACATGAACCGGGGCGGGGAAAGTGTTTTAGATGGCCTGGCGACCTGAGGCGACCTTGGAGACCTTTATACCCCGTAGGGCATTAGAGACCTTTGGATTGGAGATTTTTGCAAACCGTTGACCTGCTGATACCAGCAACTGATCTGCACAGTACACTGTCCTTGAATGGGGCGATTTCAGAAATAAAATAAAATGAAGCAATTTCCTATCCTGCATTCCCTTTAACATGGATATACCTCATGAAACCCAGTTTCCTCCGCAGCTCCTCGAGTAATTATCAGTCCTAGGTCTTGGGTCGCCAAGGGGAATGCTAGTTAATTCTCCTCGGTGGGAAAACTCGAAAACGTCACAGGCTTCACGAAATGGTAATGTTAAAAAAAATTGCAATCATTATTTCTGGACGGTATGGACCCTGATTTGCTTCGGAATCTGCAAACGGAGCCATCGAAGATCGTCAAGAAACACCGAAAAAACGAAGACGGTAAAGCATACCGTAGATCCAGACGATGGAGATGCACTCGGCGATGGCGATGAAGATCACGGCCGTCCCTCCTCCGTACACATCCATCAGCTGCAGCACGTACGTCCCCCCCTGCCACAAAAGCCGCATTAGAACCGGACCGGTCCGACACCCCAGTCGCCCTCGGGGGGACG